CGACTATTTGACAAACAAACATTTTTTGAAATATTGGGTTGTATATTAGACCCTGCATCAATGCAATTTAATAATGATCATAATAATGACAATAATAATAATAGTGATAGTAATAATAACAGTAGTATGAATAGCAATAATAATGGTAATAATAGTAGTATTAAGTTCCTGCCTTCCAAAAAATTTGAATTTGATTCAGAAATTCTCAAATTAAAGCATATTAGAATAATTTCAAGTTGGATCGACAAAAAAGATCAATATTTTTATGACAACACCAAGAATTTACCATTCACTTTTAAATTGTTATTTAGCACAACTAGAGACGGTTTTAGTGTTAGAAAATTTCATCGTTTATGTGATGATAAAGGTTCAACATTAACAATCGCAAGATTGAATAACAATTGTCAAATAATTGGAGGATATAATCCTGTTAATTGGAAACCATTTGATGAGTTAAAAACATTTGATAGTTTTATATTTTCATTTTTTGAAAATGATGATAGTAGAAATAGTGGTAGAAGTGAAAGTAGTGGTAGTAGAAACTATAATGATGATTATAATAATAGCAATAATAATGGTGGTGATGGGGATAGTAATAGGATGAAAGAGAAAGATATTATAATTGCAAGGGTTCATGATTCAAATAACGCAATATTTTATAATAGTCAAACAGGGCCTGGATTTGGTAGTGGGCCTGATTTATATATAAAAAACAATTTATTAATTAGTTTTCATTCATCAACCTATCCAGACATTGAAAAAATCACTAATTCATCACAAGCCTATGAAATCGAAAAATATGAAGTATTTCAAGTCATACGAAAATATTGAATTTGAAATTTTGAACCATGTAAACAAATTTATTTCATCCAAGTTATTCTAAATTTCTTTATTTGAAAAAATTTAGTTTGTTTAATTACTTTCAAAAAAATAATAATTCGAAAAAAGTTAAAATAAAACTTACAATTTATTTTATTTTACTTTATTATTAATATCCATCAGTGTCTTGATATCTTTTAATAATCACATAACCACTTTCTGCACGTTTAGATCTCTCTTCAAGTGAAGGTATTCGATTAATCATTCTCACTGATAACAACTCTTTAACTTTTATAATCATGCCAACAATATATGGTGTTTGTGAATGATAAACAGTATGTCCTATTTTACGCAAACCCAATGCTTCCATAACCCTATGTGAAGTTTGTGGCAATCCTATTGTGGAGCGTTTTTGTGTTATAGCAAAATAGTTACCAACTCTCGAAGCTTATTCTCTCTTTCTTTTTAAAAGCTCCCTATTTACATACTTTCTTGATGTATTAATAAACCTTTTATTATTCTTATTATTAAAGTTATGGATATTATGATTAATATTATTGTTAGTAAATTTGAAAAAAAAAGAAGCGAGAACTTGTTTTGATGAAGGATGGTGATAATTTGGTGTTAAATATTGATGAAATTTAGGAAATAGTGAGTTCATTTTTTTTCTCAAGATAAAAGGTCGAATATAAAAATAGGCCGTATCACGTCACGATTTTAATGACTTATCCAAATGATTGTTTGGAAAATGAAGAAAGATCTTGGAAGAAAAAGGCAATGAATGTAAAAAAATCAAATCATCATTGTTCCTTTGCTTCTTGTTCTAATTCTAGGCTTAACTCTTTATTTTCTATAAAAATCTATCGATATCTTCTACTAATCAGTAAATCATTACCATATCACATTTTTTTTTAATGATGATTTAAATAATTAGGAAATACAATCTGGTTTAGTGATAATAATAGGTGTATAATTTCACTTTCTATTTCCCACATCCCTTCTTGTTGTAGTTGACGATGATGCTGATGTTATGATTGTGATGGTTGTGGATATTCGGTTGTTTCAACCTCAATCTGTGATGGATCTGATGCTTCTATTATAGTCACGACAGGTGACACGCCTGTTGAATTAGTTATACTATCTCCATCTTAATTACATTATCACTTTAATAGCTGTTGTTGTTTACTTACTAGTACTGCAATCAGGTTCCGAGCACAGAGTACATGGAACAAATTTTATTGTGGTATTCTCGCCAGATCTTGAAGAAGCTTCTTATTCTTGATTTGAAATTTCTGTGGTGGTGTTCATGTGGTTCGACGATGAATTCTTTTCTAAATTATCATCATTATTATTTATAGTTTAGAGAAAATAAATGCGACGCTCTCATGTGGAATTATTATACATGTGGTCGAAACTATAGTTTCGCCAAATTTCGGGATTGATCTTTATCTGTTTTGGCTTAATATTAAACTAAGTAAAAATATGGCCGAAACTCGCATTATTTTAACGATAAAATTTCAAATTTATGTTAACTTTCTCCATAACAGTTACAATTTATTCTGCAATTACTCATTCTATTGCTACTTCCAGTGCAATTACTATCGAAATAGGTACCGGTATTTCCACCACCACCACTGCTGCTAATAAATGTAGTTAGAAGAGGTTTGTTGAAGAATTGTTTGTCTTAGAAAAAAATAAATTGATAAAGGTAGTTTTGGGAAACATTATTGTATAAAATATCTCAGTAAGTGAACGAGCCATATTACCATAGCAGATTATTTTCAATACAACAGAAATAGATCTTGTAATAAATAATCGTCGCAAAAAACCCACGAACTTAAAAATTTAGTTATCATTCCACAATCTCACATATTGTTGATTTCCACAACCCAAGTAGAAGATTATACAATATAAAAAAATTTGTTGGCAAAAGCCAAAAAGGCCTCATTATGAAGTAGCCTTAAAATAAAAAAAAGTCCTTAACGAGAGACAATACCATTCAACTAAAAAAAGTTGCACATTTCCATATTTATTCAACTGATAAACCAATTAAATCATTTATGGTTATGTGACATATTTTCAATGAAAAAAGTTTAAAGTATCGAAGAAGCTTATATAATATATATTCATTTAATTATGGCACTTCCACCATTTACACAGGCATCATTTTCATCGTCTGATGTTGAAGAGGATGAACATGAAGAAGGTGAATACAAAGAAACCGAAGAATATGAAGAAGAATATCTTAAATTTATTTCAAAAAATCCTTCGATCAAACTATCATCGCCATCACCAAAATTGCTTGTTTTAGATTTAAATGGGACATTAGTTTATCGAAAAAAAAGTCAAAGATCAAAAATAACTAGAGTAGTACTTCGACCATATATAAGTGAATTCATTAAGTATGTTCTTTTTTCTGGCAATTTTTTGGTTATGACTTGGTCATCTGCTAGACCTGAAAATGTTGATTTAATGGTCGAAGAAGCTTTTGGCGATTTCCGTAAACATTTATTGGCTGTTTGGGGTAGAGATACATTTGGTATGACTGAACAAGAATACCTTTCAAAAACCGAAACCATTAAAGATCTAAGGAAAGTTTGGGATAAATTGAATAATAATAATCAGTATTATCAACGAACTGCTACTTTTCTCAACAATTTCAACATTGATAATAATAATAATAATGATGATGATGATGATGATGGTGGTGGTGGTGGTGGTGGCAATAGTAAAGGATATTTTAAATTTGATCAAACTAATACAATAATAATTGATGATTCAAGTATTAAAACTAAATTGCAACCATTTAATGCAATAGTTGTAAAAAATTTTGACAATAAATTATCAAACCTTGGAACTGATATGGAATTGAGAAATACTATTAAATATTTAGAAACTTTAAAATGTCAAAGTAATATAAGTTCTTACATCAAATCAACCCCTTATAATGGTCAGTGAATTAATGAATGAATGACCACTATCATCACATCTGTCACCTATCCCTTGATTGCTTATTTAATCAATTAAAATAGATTTCTATCCTTCCAAATATTTTTTGTAATATAATAAATAAATTTTTTACACGTATCAACTTACATTGGCAAGTATGTGGTTATTATTTATATTATTAATGATAATAAAAAAATATATTTGATAATGAGAAAAGGGTTGATTTTTCAATAATATATCTAATATCATTTCATAAAAAAGTCTGAAAGCTCAACAGGTCAGTTAGATGATCCTGGTAATTCTAAAAAAAAGGTGATGTGAATTTTTTTTTGAAGTGAGTGCTTAAGCTTTGTACAGTGCATAACATAACAAGCTATCAAATCACTGCACCACATGTATCAAATCCAAAAAATAATTTCAATATTTTTTTGAGGATGATGTTATTCATAACCAGTTGTTACAATAACCACCTCTCTGGTTATTGTAACCAGAGGACAAAAACTGAAGATTGCATGTTGTGTTATCATTTAATAATACATCATGATATTTTTCATATAAAGATAATTGTACACCTGTCATCCAAAAATAAGTTGATAATTAGATAAATATCTAACTTATACTTTCCATCCATTCTCCTCCTGGTATTTAAAAAGTATATCCAACATTATCCTTATTTTTTTAAGTTGTGATTTTAATTTTATTCATTATGTTTTTTGATATTTATTTCTAAGGATTCATATAATACTAAACTGAGGTCTCATCTTGTTATAAAGTCCACCATTAAATGTATGACCAGTAAACTCATCAATTAATGATGAAACATAAATCACTGCTCCAGTTTTTGGAAATGAAAAAGTAACTTTTCAATTACAACTTTGTGGTTTTTTTAGGTATGTATTGTCTGCTCCTTCAATAGTATTTTTCCAACATTCTACAAAACTGAATCCATTGTTCAAAGCATAATTGTATAAAAATGCTTCAATTTGTTGTCAATTTCAAAAGTGCCACCCACTTTCAATGAATATATGATATGATCATTGTTATGTTCAATAATTTCATTGTTGTTTTCTTCACCACTAGGTAAATAAAAAATTGAATGTATATTTAAAGTAAGTAATCATAAAAATTATAATTTGTTTTCAAACTAAAAAACTACAACATATAAATAAATAATCATCTTCATTTAAATGCTTATTATCAATAATGTTTTGACTTGTGTCTTCACCATCAACTGCAAGATGAATTGGACAAATTGTTGTAGGTGAGGTTATTGTAGATCCAGATTTAGAGAAAGAAGTAAAAAAAGTAGCAGCTGAAATGAATGTGTATATTGCAAATGGTCCTTGACAAGTTTTTTCAATTTCAAATACTTTCATTTCTTCATTTTCACTGTTATTTTTATCTGTATTTTAAACATGAAGCTAGATAAGGATATTACTGAAATAATAAGATAAAGATCACCTAACAATATTTCAGAGAGAAATTTGAATATGAATTGTTATTGTAAGTGGTAATGAGTTTCATTTAAACAAGAAAGTTTATTCAAAAGTAAATTAATGTATTAGCATGTAAAAAGAGTAAAAATGAAAAATTTTATTACAGTGCAAGTTACCTAGTCCCGCAACTTCTGTGATACATCTTTTGAGAAAAAATTTACAATAATGTTTGGTCATGTGAGGACCCCGCATTTTTTTTGGGTAAATCAATATTAATATGGATGATCTTATTATTAAAAGTAAGGATCCGTGTGCCCACATGGCTGTCAATTAATTAGTCTATTTATGTTAGAGATCCTCACAATTAGCAATAAATTTGAAAAATTTAGGATAATCTATATATCTATAGTAATAGGGGTCCCGCCATGTGATATTCCATAATAATAAATAGTAAAATCGGTAACGGTGTATGGTGCACTGAACTTTTTATTGGCTGTGTAATCCTTGCCTTTGTTGATCAATTTATATATGTGGCAAATGAGTTAGCATAATACTTTGCTGCCTTTTGAAATCTTTTTTTTTCAATTCTTATAATTGAAATAAACAATATTAAACTTGCCTTTTCATAATCTACTAAAAATCTACAATGATCTATTAATTTTGTTCAAAGTAAGTTTTTACATAAATTTAAAGAAATATAAGCTTGAAATAAATATGTTAAATGCAATAGGAAATAAAGACAACTGCTGTAATTGGTTATTTGCAGCAAATGATAACTAAAGATGGGAACTGCAATTAGCCACTATTCAATTTTCATATGCAGCAACTGCAACTGCAATTCAATTTTATTAGTTGCAATTAATTGAGGAGCCATCTTTATTGGTAACTAGCATAGGGTAATTACCATGATAAAATATTTATGGCTACCACAAATAATTATGGTTGCTGCAAATAGATATGGCTGCCACAAATAATTATGACCACAAATAGATATGGCTGCTGCAAATAGATATGGCTGCTGCAAATAGACATGGTTGCTGCAAACATATATGGCTGCTGTAAATAGCTATGGCTGCCACAAATAATTGCAAATGTTATATTTACACATAGTTTCATTGTAAATGAACAGTTGACCAATTGAATTCATTAATTACAATTCAAAAATTTAGTTACTGCAGATCACAAATAAATTCAAGAAAATTTTCTCATGACTAATATGACTAATAATACTAATGACAATAATTACATTAATCTTGAAAACTATTTGCAGCAGTCATAGTTATTATTGGGGTCATATCTATTTGCAGCAGCTGTATCCATTTGTGGCAGCTGTAATTATTTATGGCAAATAGTAGCTACCAACAGCTATTTACAGTGATGATGGCTACCAGCCCAATCATTTATGGCAAATGTCTTTAATTTGTGACTTTTCTGGCTTATATATATATTGTTCAGACCCTGGTCCAATATATATCTTCAAGTTGGCACACAGCTAGCTATCAATCTCAGGTTCAGTTGTGGACTTATATTCCCAAAAGGTGTCCCCTTGGTAATAGATTTAATAATTAAGACCTTTAATTACTTGCTTCTCAGCAAAGATTATTTTACAGCAAGTTTATTAATTAGTGATTAATTTATGTAAAAGTGTTATTTTATTCATTAGATATTGTGTTATAATGTTATTATTACCAAGAAGGTTATGAACATTAGTGTTCTGTGTCACAATCCAAAAAAGGAAACAAAATGGTTGTAAAGATGGTTGCAATCATTTTTATATGATGCAAAGGTGGTAGCAATCATCATCAAAAGTTGCAGTCAGATCCTTAATGAACATGAAGATATTAAGCTAGGGAAATTACAAGCTTATTTATATCTCTTGAAGTTATACAGATAACATGATTTTTTACATGATCTTGTCCAATAAAATATACATAGGATGTAATAGAATAGGGGACTTTCTCTAGCAAAAACAACTAAAGTTGGTGTCTGTAACTGTTTCACATTTTCTGCAACTGCAGATTTTAAAGCTTGAGTTGCAACCTTTTCTGCAATCTCTGCAACTCCTGCAACTGCCTGCAACTATAATCATAATGACTTAGTACATGGACATATATTAGCTAATATCATTTTGATAAAAGCACTTACCCTCCACCCCCAGGAAGATGTTTTGATCACATATATCAATCATTTGCCTTTTTTAGTATCAAAAAAGCACAAGCAAAAAAAAAGAATTATTTTATTAATAAATCAAACATTTTAAAAGCAACATTGGAGTAAAAAAATTTTCCTTTATAATAATATATGGGGCATGCTGTAACAAAACCAGACAAAGTGAACATTGGTATCACCAAAAATTTCAGGGATCAAAATTTAGTTATTATTATCACAATTAGTTTTATAATGTCCCATTTGTTGAGTGATATATAGAACCATCCCTATATAAAAATAGTTATATGAAGCTAATTTACATCAGATCTACTATAGAACCCAACTATAGTTGGCTCAGTCTAAAGACCTCCTAAATTTTGGGCAAATTTTAAAAGTATAGAAGTCATTTTCTGTCTTACCTTTTAAAAAAATAGCCTCATTAGTTGGTAAAATAGGTTTCTACTTTTAATGTAATGAAGAGATTTTCTCCAAAAAATTATTTATTGTAGAGTTCTACTCTTTTTTAGAACATGTACTTTACTATGCTCGTGAGGAATTTGCCGCTAGGATCATTACTAAATTTAGACAAAACCACAAAATCATTTCTAAATTTAGATTAGCACACGACCATCATATCTAAATTTGGCAGTGCGAAATAATTTTTAAACCCAAAATCATGTGAAACCCTATTTTCGAAAATTTTAAAAAAATTTTATTGCATTTTTGAACGAATTACAAAATTGCTATTTTTGAAATTTGGTCATGTGGTGCAGAAATAGGAGGTCTTTAGACTGAGCCAACCATATCAGAAGTATTTAAAAAAGGAACAAGGTGAAAAATTGCTCCTTACATTTTCAAAATAAATGATGCTCAGACACTGGAAGCTTATCTAAGGAATGAAAGGATTACCTATGAAATTTACCAAGAAGAAAGAAAGATAAACACTAAGAAAAGAAACAGAATGAAGGTGTGCTATTACATAAGGTTTCTGGCCAAAACTATCTCTATTAGTAGCCAAAATTGCCAAAATACTTTGGGAAAAAATTACTTTTTTATAAGCCCAAACTATTGTAAGGTTGTTTAAGTTAAAAGAAAACCAAATTGCTCAAACTAGTTTGGGCATTGAGAAAACAGTTTGGACCAGAAACCTTATACCTAACGAAAGACTGAAATCTTTGGGCAAAAAAACCCTAATATAATCAAACTTGCTAACTACTTTTATCTTTATCAATGAGATTTCTGAAATATACATGCAACCCAAATTGAAGGTCAAAATTATCCCAATTTTGATGGCCGAAATTCAAAATTGATTACAGCATTCACTATTAATATTAAGAACATAAGTGTAACACCCCTTTATAACAGTGTCAAAATAATTTGGACTGCATGTATAAAGTAAACAAAATTTGGTTAATTTCAAAATCATAAATAAAAAAAAAGTTTTTTTTTTAATAAGCTGTGTTTATTCTGAGACAAATTTTGTCATCAAAATGTTAATACCGTTTGTTCAAATCCATGGGGACAAATAATAACAGTAGTAATTGATAGTAACAATAAAAATAATGTTATCAATAATGATGGTAATAATGGTTCTATTAATAATGATGTAATATGGTGATATAGTTGGCTCGGTCTAAAGACCTCCTAAATTTTGGGCAAATTTTAAAAGTATAGAAGTCACTTTCTGTCCTATC